TTGCTTTGCCAAGTTACATAAGATTTTTTTTGTTTACTTTATTTTGCAGATTTGCGTGCTTTTTATTGACTACGGAAACCTTGGAATTCATCCATCAAAAGATTTCCGAGTTCTTTCTGATGAATATAAACAAATGGCTGCTGTGGCTGTTAAAGGCAGTTTAGCTGGTAAATCGTCATTACTTTTGTCTGCTCTGATTCCATTCTTTCCTCTCCTCGCTTCTCTTTTCTTTTCACCGATTGCGTTCTCTTGCATTCTTTGTTATTTAATATCTACTCTTTTGTATATTTTCTACGAATGCTCTTTCTCATGAACTCTCTACAGTCCTTTCTCGAACCTCTTGTCCTCTCTACTCAAGTCCTCATCGTCTTGTCTCTCTCTCTTTTCTCCTTTGTTCTGTAATTCCTACCACATTTCTTAGCCTCTTCCCTTTTAGTTGTCCCTGTTCTAAAGTTTGACCCTTTTCGATTCTCTTCGTCTCAAACTAGAGTCTTCGATTTTCCATTGGGAAACTGAGAAGGATCTGGTTACGAGAATGCTTAATTAATGCACTAATAGGCAATGTGTAGCGACGCCATTTTGTGCAGCAAAGCATGATGGTAGTTGTAGTCCTCGCACTTTTTGTAGTCCCTAAAATATCTCCTTAAAAGCCGTTTTTACACTTTCTATTTAGAAATGTCAGGAATACTTCTATTTTCGCATAGAAAAATTAAAAACTGATCAGGGCTGTTTTGGCGGACATAAAAAAGTACTACAACTACCATCATGCTTTGCTGCACAAAATTGCATCGCTGCACATCGTCTATTCAGTTAATCTTGCTTTCTCATGACAGGCGTTCATCCAATCAGCGACTCAGGACAGTGGTCTGACAACGCTAAAAAAAGATTCGAGGAACTGACTTTATGGAAAATGCTTGTAGCATCAGTGGATGGAGATCAGTATTTTTATGATTTCAGAGAAGATTTAAAAGTTCCTCTAAATCTCTTCGACACGTCAATCAACGATGATGATTTAAACATTGCTGATGTCTTGCTTAATGAAAATTTTGCATCAAAACAATAAAATACATCTATTTGATGCTGTATGTCAGCTGGGATGTGGAGAGAAGAGTTCTACCGAACATTACAAAATAGAAATGAACGTGAAGTGCCTACAGATGAAAATTGATTTAAAAAATAAGGAAAAGATAGCTGCAAAAASTTAACAAAGATGCACTGCAAGCACGCGAGTAGAAGCACTGAATAGCGATGGAMAAATGGCTGGGAATTGAATGGGAATGGGAATTGAATGGAGKAAGAAAGAACAGGGATCAGGGTAAACAGACGACCTGAGAAACATTTAGGACTACAGGAAGCCCTGTTCAACCCAGCCTTTAGAATAAGCTGACATCGAATGGATAAAAGACCGCAAAATGAAATAATGGGAATTGAGTTAAAAGGATCACAGCGGACAACGGGATTATCAATTGGATGCATACTGAGAATAGAATAAAAGTTGTATGAACTATTATGATATACCTAAAAGCTAAAGCTATTTCAAGATTTACTTTGGAATAGCGTTTATTAAATTGCARCTCACGAATTTCTCCATTTAGTGCAGATATTTRGTAGCAATTTAGTAATTTTGAAAAGCGAAAATTCATCTGCTTTCTTCGTGAAGCGCTCAAAATTATTTTATAGTGGATATGACGATTCACGCTGCACATATTATAGAGTCGAACTGTATATAAAATAGAGCTTGTTATTAATAAAAGAGTTTGGTTGATATTAAGGATTTGTCGCTTGTGAGTAATCGCAGATTTCTCACGGCAAGGACATTTAAACTTCGCGGTTAAAAKCTGAACATGTAACCAACCAATCGACGCCCTCGTTTCCAGTCATTTGTGGTGACGTTGTTGTTCACTTGTTTCCTTCTTTCATTTCTTTATTTTTATTTATTTCTTTATTTTTTTTTTGAATTTATTTTTTTCTTCCGGTCATTTAGTGATGTAGCGCAAACGTCGGTCATTTCAACCAATGTACTGTCCTCGTCGATGTACATCTTACAAGCTGATAAAATAATGATCTTGTCGACCAATCACAGTCAGTGTGCGCAGCCAAGAAATCAAATAATATTTTGATTTTTCCTGATGTAGTTTTTTCATTTTCTTTTTAGTTTAAGGATCTTGATGTGGAAGATGGGTACAATTTGCCCTTTTTTAGATCTTCAGCGAAGATCAGCTGCAAATCACAAGTAAGCTAAAAGGCACCCCGTGTGTAATTTTAGTTGTATGCCACAGTATGTTACTGAAAATCAGATACTGAAAAGTAAAGCGAGTGGGAGTAAAATTAGATGCTTTTACTGTGTTCAAACTATGACAAAATGGTCAAGAGCTTCATAAAAAGCTGAAATTGCAGGAGGAGCCGAATAGAAGGGGTCTGTTCTAAATAACTTGTACGAATTTTTTCCTGGATGAAAGGGATTTTGAGCTACATTGTTGACAATCTCACAAGAAAATGTGACGACCTTCCTTCTTTAAAATAATTATGTTCCTAGTGGTCAACCTAGATGCCTTGTCCACAAATGCAAGGGTGCAGTACTGTTTGCAGGAAGAGGGAGGGTCCATTGCGTGCACTGTCAATTTGTTTTATAAAACTTTTGCTTATATCTTGACGAGTATGGGCCACGGTTGATCAACTTGGTAAAAGTAGACCCTCGGCCCCTGACCCAATACTCCAGTTTCGAATTCTCTTTAGTGCAAGCTTCAAAATCAAGCATAAATTTTTATTATCTTCTTTGTACACAGAGTGTTGTTTCTAAATAAAGAATGTGTTGTTTCTAAATAAAGAATGTGATCTCGAAACTGGAGCATCTTGGTTATCAGAAAGTTTGATATTTATATTAAAACTCGAGTGCCAGGACTGTCCGAATTCTCGAGGAGTCCGCCTTAAAAAGATTTTGTCATCGCATCTCCAATTCTGGAGATTGCAATGCAAAATATATGTGCATATTAACACAAGTTTTTTAATTAAATACTATTATTTTTGTTTTGTTTTGTTGTTTTTTTTTTAATGTGGAAAATGAAATTGCCTACGGGCCTGAATTTAAAAAAACACGTGTCGGCGAAAGTAATTACTAGTAGCAGTTCTAACTTAAAAATTTATCTCTGAACACTTTCGAAACATTCTCAAAGCCGCGTGTTAGGCAATCAATACATTCTTCCTTTTTTATTTTTCAGAGAAAGAAAAGAAACATTCAGAATATTTTACAAACTTCCACGCGGAGCCGCGGAGCGCAAATACATTGTTTATTTTCAATCGATAAATCTTCGGAGATCAATAAATACTCGAGATTTCCAGTCGGGCCAGCTTGGTCGGACGTCAGTAGGTCACTTCTCACATTACCATTTTAAAGTTACTTACTTGTTGCATACGTGAAAATGTAGACGATTTCTGCATAGTTTTTGCCTTGAAAGGCATCTTTTAATCCTTGATCTCCAGGTGTAATGTACGGTTTATTGAAGGGATATGTGTCTAGGTAATCCAAGCTTAAAATTTACCTCGTGTTTTGAAGTTGTTGATTTGATTTGCTTCACTACATACGAAAGCTGCMATCGACTTTAAAACAATGGTTTCATGCAGGAACACGTGAAGTCTATCGCTGTATTGGCTAGTCTGCTATTCAACTCATTTATCTAATATTGTTTGACTTGTTTTTGTATAGAAAACCAACAGGCGAAGATAGCAATGAAGTGAGCGAAGACGAAACAACAGATCCTGCAACAAGACACTCCGAAGGACTGCGAACTGTTCAGCTACAAAAAAGAAGCGAAAGCTCCAGTTATGGCCGATTCTTCTCTTGGGGAATTGACGGAGTGTCTTATCTAGGCAACCAAGTTAGATCGAAAGTAGATAAAACTTTGTCTTGGTGGTCTAGTTCAGGTAAGCTTAATATGAAAAAAAATGTAGAAAACACAATGTGATCATTTTTTCTTATCGAGAAATTTGACGTTTGTTTTGTTTATTATGTAGCTTCATGTGCAAAACATTTTCCAAGATTAACTCTTGTACTTCAATACCTGCCATTTACCAACAGAAGTTTCACTTTTCCTAATTTTCGCACAATATTTCAGACATCATGTCAGTTTTAACGTCTGAACATGACACTAACMTCATTCRTAATTTTCACTTCTAAAAGTTTAGTTACCCGACTTTTTGTGATTTTGCCAATGGTAATTCTGTTCTGAATTATTTATTTTACCGAAAATATTATCGAGGATATTGTTATGATTCTGTTGCACCTATAGAAAGCTAGAAGCCTTCAAAAACACCCCTACTTGTTTGTCATTGGCCCACAAACAAAAATCCAAGATGGCCGTTTCTGGGGAGTTGAATGGCCGATAGAAATCGTTTGMAAATGATTATCATTCGATGTCAAACAGCGCATCTTTTCAATCGATCTCGTCTTGGAAGTCTATAACAACATTGTGAAGTATAAAATTCATTTTGGTAAGATTCGCAGTWGTAATGAAGGACAAAGACGCAAACACGCGCCAACTAAACTTCCGTTTTGAGCGCTCGCCTAAATTTGTATGAGACACTTTTCCTTTAGTTTTGYAATTCAAAACAATCATAGGCAAATACTTCTTTATATTAAGACTGACAWTCCKTTYYTTTGTTRAAATTAGAAGATACAGAASAAGAAATCCCAACAAAGATGGCGACGACAAAACGAAGTGGTCCACGACAGCCAGACGGAACGGTGGTTTATTCGGTGAGATTTTCATCATTTTTCGAGATTTTATGTTTTTTCTATATTATTKAACATTTAATCTAAATGTATGTAATTGTTAAATCCCAAACTTTGTTGTTCTGGGAATTTTGTTTTTAATGTTGTAATATTTGTCTTGATTCCGTGTTGTTTTCYTTTTGAAGCCAAAAAAGGTGTCTCAATTTGATATTTGTTTAATTTAACATTGGTGGCTTATTTATATTATAAAGAGCAATGWTAAATGTTACAATATGACCTTGTAAATTGTGCATGAAGTGAGATGACTTYTGGGAATGGGATGAAACTCCCATTAATTCYCATTTCTCCATATTTCATTTGGAGTAATACAAAGGGCTGCTAGTTTTGTTAGCCAATTTMCATGTTGAAATTGTCTTCATTGTATCCTCAATGCTATATATTTTACCTTCGTTGTTCATTTAGTCATGAATTGTTCTTTAAAAGCAGGTTAGGTAATTTAGCATTTCTATCTAAGATTTCAAGTGATTGCTTCATAAGTCCAGTTTATGTCCATTATTCAGACCTTAGCTGATGTTGAGTTTTACAATTTTTTATTCTTTTTTTGCAAAATCCCCTATTCCATTTATTTATCCCCTTGGCAAATTTCCCTTTTTTCCATCAATTTTCAAAACAAACCTTAAGTGCTCTCTTGATATTGGCTTCTAACATTTAAATGTAATTTCTGACAAAATCTACAATTCTATCAGACGCTTGTACAATGTTAATTTTTTTAGGTTTCTATACWATTCCATAAATTGTTTGGTTTTCCTACATGTCAAGTTGCAAATCACAATCCATTAGGGTTAATAGAATATGCATAAATGCAATTTATATTTTTTTGTTTGCTTGATATTTTTCATGGTTTGATTAGRCTGACCTTGATATAGTTTGTCTGACGAATGAGTGTGTGTTAAGTAATAAAATGACTGCGTTAAGATGACAAGTAAGTAGGCTCTAGTTTTGCTTATGATTGCCAGAGTGTGCACAAGAGTTTGTTCTGCTAATGGCATCTGAATCAGGTTATTTCTGAAGTTATGAGAATTTTATATCTTAATTGTAAAATAATGTAATAGTTTGGTTTTTGCATTAATTAATGTTAATTGCAATAATTCATTCTTTATTCATATTGGATTTTCTTGAATATATAACAATAAGGTTTATTGCTTTAGTTTGCAACTCTTTTTAAAATATCTATTGTTTTTTTTCACAAAAGAACAGCTAGATTTAATGCTGTTATTAAGRTTAGCCTATTTTATGCAAAGAGATCCTTAAAAAATTAATAAGTGTCAAATGAGAATAATTAATAGCTAGTTCTTTGTTTCTATTAATTATTTTTATCATTAAATACTAATATGCAAAGTTCTATAACGTATTTCTTGTATAAAGTAAAATTGTAGCTATAATGATATGTATTGGATGTGATATTATAAATCTATATTTTTCATCTTCTGCTGTAAAAGAATAAATTACACTGAAGCCATTAAWAGTGTTTGTTTTGGTTTGTACATGCTTGGCCAGGTCACAGATAATTACTAATGACAATCTTTGACAATGATTTCTATCTAGAGACATTTCCATGTTGAATTCAAATTGTATTCAAGAGAAAGTGCACTTACAATAGCAATATCCGTGATGTCAAGGAAGTCAGAGGTCTACATATCCAATATTTAATAGTTAAATTGAACTACACTGTTCCAGCACACTCTTTTTACTAGAAAATGTATAATTTGTATCAGAAAGAACAAATTTAGAGATTTAGTTTGAATTGACAACATCCGTTTCCTTTCCCAGGATCAAATGGTATACTGTATCATACGCAATTGATATTTTCCTTTTGTTAAAAACACACTATTAATTTCACTACAGATGCACATTTTGGATATCATGATTTACACAAATAACAGAGACACATAGACACTTCTTTTTTCTGAAAAACTAGGTTGCTAAGAAACGCTACCTCAAATGTAAATATTGCTAATCATGTAAAAGCTGTTGCTTAGCAACTTAAAGGTTTTTGAAGAAATGTTGATTTGTGGATAACTGTGTTGTTTTTCTCATCCAACTGGACTGTCTTTTCATATATTCATGGTATTTTTAGTGTTATGTGTAAAATTCATTGTCTAAAGTTCTTCTTAATAATAATTATATGTATTGAGTATTTCTGATAAAGTTGACATTTGAATCCTTTCCAGTTTATGTTGTTATTATTTAATATCATTTTTTTCCACCTGAGTAATAGAGTTAATTAATAGTTWAAGTAAAAAGTGTGTTTATTATAATTCATCTACTCTGCTATACTTATTTCCTAAAGCAGTCAGGGTCTGGAAACTTGTGAGCATTTAAAATCATTAGTCAGTCTTTCCTCAGGGGTGCTATGCCCTAATGGATGCTGAATGTCACTAAAAGTTCCTAGTTACATAGATCAGTCTGCTATTAGATTAATCTAAATGGAGAATAATTTATTTTTAAGTTTTAATTGAAAATTATTGCTCATTTGACTATTCAAACCCACTGGTTGTATGTACAGTAGAAACCATCATTATTTTAATATAATTATATAGTGACTGCAAAGTTTCAAAAGAAATTGTTGGGATTTGTGTTTTTATGTGGTGGAGGAGTTTCAATCGTTACCGGTCATCTCGCCCCATTGCCATCTCGCCCCCACCATCTCGCCCCCACTATTCCATCTCGCCCCTACTTTGCCATCTCGCCCCACCATCTCGCCCCAATATTATATATACGAAGATTACTGTTGAAATTCACGTAATAATAAGAATTTCGTTTCAATACTACAAATCAAACAGTTTACCAAATTACTTTCTGAAAAAACTCCTCTCAAAAGATGGCAGGAAAGAACAATATCCAAGCAAAAGTCAGTGCAAAGACGTGCAATGCAAAGATTTTTGCTGGAAATTTTTTCTCRAATTTATTATCAATATGTTGTCTGTTTGTTGATGGTTATAGGTGAGTGGAAATGATACTCTCAACAAGATAGCTTTACTCTTTGATACTACACCGTCTGAGTTAACAAGAATGAACAAGCTGACATCTCGTATGCTGTACCCAGGACAGGTAAAATACCAGGAAATTACCATATTATTATTATTAGGGTAATATTAATTCTTATTATTGTTATCAGTGATGTTAATGACGTCATATGAAAGTTATCTGTTGTTTCATTGCAAGGGTTTATTTAGGGGGTCACAGGCTGCCTGTACTAGTAGCACCCTCCCTCTCCCCCCCTTCCCCCACTCCCGCAACCCCCCAACCACCAATTTTGAAGTGAGAAAGTGAGAGAAATAGAATATAAAATATGCCCATTGATGTACTCAA